TACATCCGAACTTAGCCCTTCCTTACTTGTTTGTATATAAAATTGCTTCAAATATGTTCTCGAGTATAGCTGAGCAATGCCAAAATTACTCTATCCCCAATATATATATGTTTCCGTCTTTCCACCTGATTTTTAAACCGTTCCGGTTGATCAAATGTGATATTTAACGAAATTAAGTGGATAAGATTTCGTAAAATTATGTGTGTTTGACGCTGAATAGAATGAATTTAGTATATACCTTGGTCTAAACCTCACACCTTCATATAATGAAATCCGATTCTCTGGTAGACGTTTGCCACATAAGCTTATAATATAAAATTTAGCTAACATTGGTGGAGTAATATCACATTCATACTTATTAGTCCAGTCATTATAGTAAGTTCGCCGGAATTCAGATACCCAGCTGTAAGTCTGTAAATACTTGTTATTGACACCTAAAAGTTGTCTCAAAACCTACATATGGTAGGGTGTATGCAACTATTAAATATTCAAGGTCAAACGCGCCATATATTAGTTGATGAACTATCAATAAATCAATGATTATAAATATTGTCAATTTTTATTAACTAATATATTATATTTTATCATTTTTTCCTAACCTATTCACTTTTTATTCAGTATTAATTTATTTAACAACACTTACCTGCCCATGAAATTGCAGAATTGTTAATGAAAATATAGATATATTTAAATTAAACCTTAAAAAAAAATAAATAAAAAAATGTATTAAAAAATATCATGCAATACATTTATTTTATTAAAAGTAAAAAATGGAATAAAGGGTACAAAAATTAAATTTTAATTTTAATCATCTTCTTCCTCTTCATCGTCGTCTTCCGGCTGCTGGTAAATTTCAAACTGGTCTTCATTATTTGTTTCAAGTTCTTCCATGATTTCGGGGTCAAAAGTTCCATCTTCGTTAATGTCGCTCTGATATGGTAGAGCATTGAGACAAGCTTGCCCATTACATTGGCCACAAGCTAAGAGCATTGCAAGCCCGCTTTCCTGCATCCGCATCGCGAACCACAACCACTCTTGCAGTTGCAGAAAATTGTATTTAGCAAATGTTCTGGAGCAGGTGGTAAAATTGTCATGATAGGTTCCAGAACATCGTTACGCATTGCCCTAACCAAGTTTAAACTTGATAATATACACGTTCGAAATGTTGATGAGCAGCTGCACTTGTTGGTGGAATATTTGAAAGCTGCACAGGTTTATTAAGTTTTGTAGACTTGACGTAATGCATATAACGAAGATGATCGAGACTTTTCACAGATTTTGGAGCATTATAGACTGCCAATAAGGTTTGAGTTCCACTCTCTAATAATCTCTGGGCCGAACAATTTTCTTCCGCAAATGCTGCAGCTAGTTCATCCAAATTGGTCAGTTTTCTCAAAAACTTTTTAAAATGTTGTTTTTCCCTTTTTAAAAGCGCAGAAGTTGTGTCACATCCTCTTAATGCGTGCAGAAATAAAATGTGTGTTTTGGAATGAGGATAATTATCAAAACTTTTAGTCGAGTATATCTCCGTTTTTACATTGCCTTTCCCAACTTTTTTAAAGAAATTTCTTGTTCGTTAGACAGTGTACGCCCCAATTAAAATGATGAGTAAATCAATATCTTGACCTATTATTTACAAATTTACAGATTTTAAAGAAGATGCACTTAATTATTTCTAATTAAAATGTCATTAGTGTTAATGGAATATTAATTAAGTAAGATTTAATTTTTCCCTTCATTATTTTTAATTTTAGGAAACGGTGATCAGTATTATTGAATAGATAAAGATTTAAGGCATGAGAAAATGATAAAATATATATAATAGTTAACTTATTATGGCGCGGTTTTTGATCGGAGGCACCGGTTGACCTGAAGTGATGCTGTGACGCGCGCTCTAACCTCTATCTCGAAACGGTTCACCGTATGAAAAAAATTTTTAAACAAAATTTGTAGAGAATTTTGTATTCTACAATATTAATAATAAATACCAATAAAAAAAATACATAGGAAATGAGATATTAACAAAAAAAGCGCAAAAAACCGTTTTTGTGACCTTTGACCTTGAAATTTAATAGTTGCGTACACCCTACACTGTAGGTTTTTGAACAACTTTTAGGGTGTCAATATACAACTATTTACAGACTTACAGTGGGTATCTGAATTCGAGATTCTTACCTAATTTAGCTTAAAGACTGGACTTATATGTATAATTTCACTTCAAGCAATAAACTGAGACTAAGTTTATGCCTTTATATAAGTCAGAAGATACCAAATTTGATTGTAATTAAATCACTATTTCATTTAATAATGCATGTTTAATACTTTCTCAACATTTTATACTCTATATATTATACGTTATATATATATAATATATAATATATATATAAATGATCAGGATGAGAGACGAGTTGAAATCCGGGTGACTGTTCTGTCCGTCGTCCGTCCAAGCTCTAACTTGAGTAAAATTAGATATCTTTATGAAACTTTAGGAACATGTTTCTTGGTACCCTGAGACGGTTGGTATTGCAGATGGGATAATCGACCACTGCCACCCACAAAACGCCATTAATCAAAAACAATAAATTGCCATAAACTAAGCTCCATACAAGATAAGACTGTTATTTGGTAACAGGATCACATTAAGGGCATCTTGCACTTTAAATTTTTTTAAGTGGGCGTGGTCCCGCCCTAATAGTTTAATTGCATATCTCTAAACCGCTAAGTATAATAACAAATTCACTGGAAGAAATGTTTTAAGCCCTACTTACAGTGTGAAATCGGCGGCAACTCGCCCACTCCCATATAACGGTACTGTTAAAAACTACTAAAAGCGCGCTAAATCAAGCCTAAACACGCCAGAGACATTAAATTTTATCTCTGGGATGGTATGAGATAATTTATAGGAACCGCGTTCAAAATTAGACAGTGGGCGTGGACAGCCCACTTTTAGTGAAAACCCATATCTTGAGATCTGCTTAACGATTTCAACAAAATTCGGTACATAAGTTATTTCATATTCTATGTTAATAGTGCGAAAATGGGCGAATGGGACACAACCACGTCTATTTCATATAACAACATTTTCAATTCCATCTGATTCTTTTCACTTTCCACTATGCAATCAGCAAAATGATTATCGGGGTAAAACTTTGCGTGAATAATACGTTTAAAGTATGCACCTGTGACAAAAATTGTCTAAATCGAAATTAAGACTGTTCAACCCCATAAGTACTCCAGTGTCCTATAGTTGACTTCTACCAAAATATCAGTCATCCCAAAGAAATCTCAAACAGTATACCATTTGACTTTGCGAGAGTATAAAATGTTCGTGATCGACTTATCTTCCTTACTTGTTTTGTATAAGAGTTTTGTTCACCTAACGGTTGTTTTGTATCACTAAACTAATCAGTTAGATACACGGGTTATGTAATATAATGATCAGGATGAGAGCGGAGTTGAATCCGGGTGACACTGTCTGTTCCGTTCCGATCCGTCCGTCCCGTTCGTGCAAGCTCTAACTTGAGCTAAAAATTGGAGATATTTGTTATGAAACTTGTAGACAATGTTCTTGAGACCGTGAACGGGTTTGGTATTGCAAGGGGCGTAATCGGACCACTGCCACGCCCACAAAACGCCATTAATCAAAAACAAATAAATTGCCATAACTAAGCTCCAAAACAAGATAAGACTGTTATTTGATACACAGGATCACATTAGGAAGGGGCATCTTCACTTTAAACTTTTGTTTTAAAGTGGGCGTGGTCCCGCCCCTAATAGGTTTAATGTGCATATCTCCTAAACCGCTAATGCTATAATAACAAAATTCACTGGAAGCAAATGTTTTTAGAGCCCCTACTTACAGTGTGAAATCGGCGGGCAACTCCGCCCACTTCCCATATAACGGTACTGTTAAAAACTACTAAAAGCGCGATAAATCAAGAACTAAACACACCAGAGACAATAAACTTTATCTCTGGGATGGTATGAGATGACTTTATAGGAACCGCGTTCAAAATTAGACAGTGGGCGTAGCACAGCCCACTTTTAGGTGAAAACCCATATCGTGAGATCTGCTCAACCGATTTTAACCAAATTCGGTACGTAACATTCCTCTCATATTTCTATGTTATAGTGCGAAAATGGGCGAAATCGGACTACAGCCACGCCTACTTCCCATATAACACCATTTTAAATTCCATCTTATTCTTTCACTTTCCACCATGCATATCAAGCAACAATGATTATATCGGGGTAAAACTTTGCGTGAATAATACGTTTAAAGTATGCCACCTTGTGACCAAAAATTGTCTAGATCTAACCAAAACTGTTCAAGACCCTACGTACTAAATATGTGGACCCCAGTGCCTATAGTTGACCTTCTACCGAAAATATCAGCCAATCCACAAAGAAATCACAAACGAGTATACCATTTGACTTTGCGAGAGTATAAAATGTTCGGTTACATCCTTACTTGTTCCCACCCTTCCTTACTTGTTTTACTTAAATTTCTTTGATTTGAAAGATTTTTATCAATACTTTCTTTTTTTGGTGCCATGGTCAAGCATCTTTCGAATCTAAAATAAAATATATGTTAAAAATAAACTTAAAAAAAAATAAAGATTAATTGAATAATGTTGAAATGAATTTTAAATGTTTTATGCTATAAAAATACTTACCTTCACTATACTATACTTATTACAGAACACATTATCTATTACAATAATCTTTTACAATGAATTAACGAAACTGTTGAAATATACTTATACTTACCCCTTTTCTAATACATACTTACCACTAGTTTAAGCCGTTAGGTTAAGGTTTAGGCTAAGTTATAATATTCTTAAAATAAAGAATTCTATTGTAATCAAACCACACTCGTGAATGCATGTCTTTTGACTTAACCGGAGATTTTCATTTGGTTTAGGCACAGGCAATTGGCACTTTTTATTTAAGTTGCGCATCCCAACATTTTATTTCATCTCAAAAAGGCTTGAGATTTTTCATAGCGCCCGAGCAGGGACATATTTTTTTACAGAATTCGGAAGATCGTAGTTGATGACATGTTTAACATTTTTTATATCGAGGCCACGAGCGGCGACTGAAGTAGCTATTAGAACTTTCATTTTACCTGACTTAAAGTCAGCTAAAGCCATTTCTCGTTGGCGCTGCAATCTGTCGCCATGAATAGAAGTCGTAGGAAACTCAGTTTCCGAGTGTAAAGATGCTAGAAAATCTGCACCGCGCTTTGTCTCAACAAAAGCAATGGTTCCATCGCTGCTTTCACTCAGTAATTCCATTAGTTTGGCCCGTTTTTGAAACTTTCTAACTTCAAAAAAATCTTGTGTAACATCGGAACAGTGGTGCGTGTTTGCCACACCAATGGTGATAAATATATAGTTTGATAAATAAGCACCAGCTAAACGTTGTATTTCCTCGGGGAATGTTGCAGAAAACATTAAATTCTGACGTTCTTCCATGGAGCGCATTGTCGGATGATTCATAAGGGTATTAACATTGTCTTTAAAACCCATATCTATCATACGATAGACTTCATCCAGCACAACGTAAGGGGTCTCTTCAAAAGTAGTAGAACCCTTTTCAACAAAGTCTAATAAACGACCAGGAGAGCATATCAAGATGTGGCACCCTTTGGCAATGTTTTCGCCTTCATATTTATTTGAGGTGCTATGCTGATTTTCAAATAAGAACCTAGTACAAACTTTCGAGCTTCAGAGAAAATCTGGATCGCTAATTCACGAGTTGGAGAAACAATAACCAATCGACAAATCACAACTTCCTCCTAAGATAGTCATACATATAGTCATGGCAAAGGTTGACTCTATTACCCAATTCAAGTGGGAAGAACATCTGGAATTCGACAAGCTCCCATTGTGGAAGGATTGTGAAGCTACTTTGAACAGACGGTACCAGCACCTATCAGCAGAAGGAGCATCGTGTTCAAGGACGAGACCCATAGTCGCAGCCAGCCCAAGTCACATTAAGCAATCCCAAGTGGACAGGACGAAGTCAGCTCTAGTTGATGCAAATACAAAGCAGCCGGCTTGTCAGCAGTGCAAATCAAAGGACCATTATTTAACCGCCTGTCCCACTTTCAAAACTCTCTCTGTGCAATAGAGATTTGAGTTTGTCAAATCGGTACCCTTATGTATAAATTGTTTGCGTAAGGGCCATGCGGTCTCCAAGTGCAGGGCGGATCGATGTCGCGTGTGCAATCGATCCCATCATACGTTACTGCACCAGTATCCCGTTTCACTTGCTGTTGCACCTTCTCCGCAACCAACAACAACTACACATGCCATGCATACAACAAGCGTACCAGATCGTGTAATGTTGGCAACAGTAGTTATTCTTGTGAGAACCAGCTGTGGAGAATACCTGCCCGCTAGAGCATTGTTGAATTCAGGATCACAAGTCAACTTTATGACGAAATTGGAAATTCCACACGAAAGTCGGGACAAAATTAAGCGCATTTGTTAAGTCCCGGATAAATAGTTTCGAATTTTCGGCGGAATTCTGGATTATGCGATGTATTTCGGCAAATCATCCAGACCATAACATCAATGTTAATGGCTGGAAAGTTCCGCACAATATTAAATTGGCGGATCCAGAATTCCAAAAATTCCAAAAGATTGATATGTTATTGGTAGCAGAAACCTTTTTCGATCTGCTAGCTGTTGGCCAAATTAAAAGTGGTCCTAATCAACCAACGCTACAGAAAACTCTTTTGTGATGGATTGTGTCTGGCAAATACGTCAGCAGTGTAAGTTCTCCTCCGGAAGCAAATAGCACATTATGCCAAC